CTTTTCATGGTCTCCATAAAGTAGCTCACTCCAGAAGAAAGGCAAAGTTGACTTATTGCAAGATCAAATGAGTCACCAGTTAATCAAGACTTCATTGATCTGCCTGGTGTGGTAACTCATGCCTGTGAATTGTAGCACTGGGGAGGCTGGGGAAGAGTACTGAGTGCCCAAGGCCAGCCTGAGCTACAGAGGAAAACGCAATTTTAACAAATGCACTTTGCCCCATGTTATATGTCTGTAGATGCCCCTGAGACAGCTTGGCACAATAATCAATATGTTTCTCTCTGCTCTCCCTGACAGGAAGCACCTTCAGGACAAGGTCATGTTTTATTTATTGTCAAAGGGTGCACAGGTCTACCATGAATAACAATTAATAGGCATATAATGAATATGTAACTATTAGCACTTGGATAGATAAAATATCTTCTTTCCCGCACTAAGCCACAGCCTCCACTAGATGAGTTACTAAGCACGCTTTAAAATTTAAATTGCACTTAAAAAATAATTTATCATGCAGATGTGCACCATTATTCATGCTCACCTTCTCCCTTATTGTTCTAAGTTGGTAAAGATTTCTGCAGGCTGCTTCCCCCTCAGTGTGAAGCTTTTCAGTTTCACACTCCCGAGCAAATGTAAAGACACATAGAAGTTAGCAAGGGCTTTTTGAAAGCACTTGCCAACCCCCAACATTAAGCTAGGAGTTTATGTGGAAGTACACGCATTAGTTAATATCCCCCAGCAGACTTAGAAGATGGCTATTGTCCTGATTCTATAGATAAGGAAACTGAGGCACAGAAACATGAATGGAGCTGGTCACACCCCTTCAGCTGTCGGCACTACAGCCTGACATGAGAGCCATGCTCCTCACCCCAATTTCTCCTTCACGTCGCACCTCGGCTTGCAGGAAAGCCGAGGAATGGAAGGTGAAAAGTGCCGCCCAGCACAAAGCATAAAGATCATCTCGAGGCACTGCCTGACTCTGGGGCCTAACATCTAACCAAACAACTGATGTGGGGCATGTAGATCTTCCTAAACACATATGGGGCTCCATGGGGAAAGATGTTCCACACATGTAAGTGTCCAGTCTGCAAGGGGCTGAAGATGGGATCAGAAGGAAACATTAGTAATTACCCAATCCGCTTCCCACTCTAAATGTAAATAGCCATTCATAAATCACCTATATGAGCTTAAGGGTAAACACTGATCCATTCCATGTAGCATGCCGCTGGAATAAATAAAAGCTCAGGCCACTGATGGAAGTAAAAATTTATTTTACACCATTTTCTTACAGTATTCCAGGAATGCTTCTGGACCCTGTGTTGACTTTCATCTGTTGGGGTTTTGGTTTGTTTCATTTTGTGAAATGGACAGAGGGTGTTTCACTGTGTTGCCCAGGTTGACCTCAACCTAATGAGCTCACACAATCCTCCTGCCTCAGCTTCCCAAGTACTGACTTTTGTGCAAAATTGTCTACTATGAACCACAGGAGGGTGAGCTTTCTTCATGGAACAGAGTTTGTTGAATGTTTCCTGTGTTCTAGAGTTTCTCTGGGTGCTTGGAATACAATGGAAACAGCTGACACAAATCTCCATGGAGTTCACCCACATTCGCAAGGAGCAAAGTCAACTTGAACAAGTCTACAGCAAAAAACCGCAAGCTCTCTGGACTGGTTTGGACAGACCTGAAAATCCACTCATCACCATAGCTCATTTGCATCTTTAGTACTGGCTTTACATTCCAGGCAGATGACATGTAAGGAATTCTCTTAGCACCCAGCACACGAGAGACACACACCCACCAAAAGGACTCCAGAAGCCTCCACAAAGAACTGCCATCTATGTCACCACATTTGTTTACACAACTTCCTGGTCAAACAGAAGGAAAACACTCTAGGGATGAGTGCTGGGATGGTAAGAATTATACAGCCGGGCAGTTGGTAGTGCATGCCGTTAAGGCAAATCTCTGAGTTCAAGACCAACCTGGTCTACAGAGCAAATTTCAGGACAGCCAGGCTACACAGAGAAACCCTATCTGAGAGACAGAAGAAGGAAAAGAAGGAGGAAGAGGGTAAGGAGGAGGAGGAGAAAAGGAGGAGGAGGAGAAGGAAGAAGAAGAAGGAGGAGGAGGAGGAGGAGAAGGAAGAAGAAGGAGGAGGAGGAGGAAGAGGAGGAGGAGGAGAAGGAAGAAGAAGAAGGAGGAGGAGGAGGAAGAGGAGGAGGAGGAAGAAGAAGAAGAAGAAGAAGAAGAAGAAGAAGAAGAAGAAGAAGAAGAAGAAGAAGAAGAAGAAGAAGAAGAAGAGAACCAAGGAACCCAATGGCAGAGTGGGGCCACAGATCCTGCAGTAGTCAGAGACCACAGTTTCTGTGCTGGGTAGCATAGCCCTCTTCCATGAGGAGGCTGAGGAACACCGTACTCCACAAACAGAACATTGGATCTTTTGTTTTCTAGGTACCATTCATCTTTGTAAGCATGTGGCTAATGTTTTGCCCACAGCCACCAACAGACAGGTGGAAGGAGATCAAATAATCTTCAGGTTTTAAAAATAGTCATGAATTAGAACTTGGAAAGCGAGTCTGAACATACCAAAAGCCACAGATCAGTGGATTCTATTTAAGACACGATGTCCTCAGTTCTAAAGCAGCTTTGCCCACCATTGTACAAAATCAGATTAAATGTCCCCAGAGCTTCTCACATGAGTGTTCCTTCTGTCTACTGCTTTGTTTAAAAAAGAAATCCATTATTATTTTTTTAAAAATCATCATCATAAAGACCAAAAGAAAAGTAAAAGCATATTTTGCCTGAAATATAACTCTTTCTATCCAAAGCTTTATAAAAAGCACATGCCTGCCAAACTGTTACATTTTTGATCCTCAGAACCAGCCGAGAAGGTGGTGGCATCACCGTGAGAAAAGGAGGCCATTGTACAGCTAAGCATTCCGCCCATTGCATGGAGACTCTTAATCAGGGAGTCAGTGGACAATCCCCACCCTGAGGAAGTAACTCCTTTTTCAGAAAATCAGTATTTTTATAATTCTTTGAGATCTTCACACAATGCACTTTGATCATATTCACCCCAGTTCCTCTCCTTATCTCCTCCCAGACCTAGTCGCATCTTCTACCCACCCCAACTTCATGTCCTCTCATTATTATTATTATTATTATTATTATTATTATTATTATTATTATTATTATCATTATCATTATCATTATCATTATTATTATTATTATTATTATTATTATACTCATCAACTCTAAGTTATGCTCTCCATATAGTTCTAGGTGTGGGGCCATCTACTGGAGTATTATAGACTTCCAGGAGCTACACCCTTGAGGAAAATTAACTCTCCCTCCCTAAGAAGCCATGAACTACCCATAGGTAGGGTCAGAAACCCATTTCCACTCTATGCTCGAATACTCAGTGTCTAACTGTTCTATACTTCATTAGGGAAGTGTTTTTCTGAAGTAGATGGTGGCTAACACAGAAATTCGCAACTAGTCAAATGGCAGAGAAAAAAGGACTGTGGCGTGCACACCAACACACACACACACACACACACACACACACACACACACACCAAGGCTCAGAGAGACCATTCAAAGAGGAGAGGAAAAGTCTGTAAGAGCCAGAGGTCAGGAGGACCAGAAGAAAACAGTGTCTTCTGGACATGACAGGAAGTTACTCTCATAAGCCACAGCAGAAATGGCTGCCTACAGGAATTCCTTTTTGTTGATATGTTGGTTTCATTTGTTTGGTTTGGGGTTTTCTGGGACAGGGTCCAGCTACTTAGCCCAGTGAACACAAGCATGTCATGACCATCCTGTCTCAGACTCACCATTGCTTGGATTCCAGGCATGCGTCACCACACTTGGGTCCCTTAGCGGACTATCTTATAAGGATTGCATCACATGTTGATGAAGGTACTTATATACGTGACCTCAGCTATACCACATTGCACACTAAATCCAACCACATGAGCTCAGTCAACCCACAGAATCACCAGCATTAAAAGCCTGTCACTAGGCAAGGTCACTAAGCTCTGGAGTGATTTGTTGCACAAAAACAGCTAACATCTGCTGTGTCCCCCCCATCGCACATCTAGGCTAAGCTTCATGTTAAATACAGAGGTCCACCCGAAAGAGGAGACTCTGAGAAGCAAATGCATCAAGGAGCACTACACCCAGCAAAGCAGAACCTTGAGCCACTGTCCTTCCCGCTCATCTCCTGAGTAGCCACTGTGTCGGGGCTGGACACACAGACTGTTGGTAAGACATAGACTTCGGATTAGATGGGTTGAGATCCCGGCTCTCCTTCCTGCTAGGTGTGGGTGCTTAAACAGTTACCTAGACTTCTCTGAGCCTCAGTTTCCCCCACGATGTGAATAAATCAGTCATGATGACTTCTTGGGCTGCTTGGAGAAGTAGAGATGATACTGTATTATTCAGAGCAAATGCCCACATGAATACACATATACACACATACATATGTACACACATACATACATACGCACATATATACACGCATGTGTGTACACATGTGCACATACACACTGAGTGAGAAAGAGAGAGAGACAGACAGACAGACAGAGGGAGGAAGAAAGGGAGAGAAGGAGGGAGGGAGGGAGGGAGGGAGGGAGGGAGGGAGGGAGGGAGGGAGGGAGGGAATGATGGGTTGCCTAGAAAACTCCTATCCATGTTTCAGCAAAGCTTTTATAGATGTGGTTTTTCTGAGAAAGCCTACCTGAAGGCCTCCACATAGGACTGCTGCAGGCCTCCCCAGCACCCTGCAGGTTTCTTGTGTGAAGTATTCATCACCCACTGAAATTATGCTGACCTCGTCATCATTTATTAATGTTGGTCTCATGCTTTAAAACCCATCGCCTGTGCCTGCAACTGTTGCATGGGAGTTCATTGCAAAGAAGCGTGTGTATGGTGTGCTGTGCATGGTTTGGCGGACAGACATCTGCTCCAGGAGTTGAAAGGGGAGGAGGGCCAAAAGTTACCTCTGACCTTCCAGACGGTCCGTGAGGCCTAGACAAAGTGTCCCTCACATTCTGAGAAGGCAGGAATCTCCTTCTCATGACGACAATCCTTCCCCAAAGGACAGTTACAGTTTGTTTCTTGACTGCTCCCCACAGGCTGTGTGATAATGGCTAGGTCTCAGGGCAGCTCTGTGTGGATTCTGGAAGAGGTGGAGAATGGCAGCAGGAAATTAGGTCCATGCCCTTCAGTTGAATTATGGGACCTCAGTCCATCCACCCTTTTCTACTCTGCTCCCTGGCTCAGACCCAAAGTTTGCTCCACCCTGGGCCCCACCTTGAGATGCTGCCCCTCCACAGGCCCAGAGTGGCAGGGCAACCGGGCTGGTAATTTTTTTGTCAACTTAACATCAAGTAGCATCACCTGCAAGGACGGAGCCTCAATTGAGGGACTCCATCTTTCAGACTGGCCTGTGGGCGTATCTGAGGGACAATTTCTTGATGAAGGATTGATGTGGGAGGGCCAATTCCATTACGGGTGGTGCCATAACTTGCAGGCTGAGTAAGGCATGGCAAATAAGCCAGTGATGTCCCTCCATGCCTCTGGGTCCCTGCCCTGAGATTATGCCTTGTCTTCCCTCAATGATGGACTATGGCCTGGGAGCTACGACATGAAATAAATCCTTCTGTCCTTCTGTTTTTTGGCCAGTGTTTTCCCAGCGCATCAGAGGAGCAAACGAGGACAGAAATTGGTACGGAAGAGTGGGATATGGCTGTGATGGACCTGACCGTGGCGGTTTAGGGGGAAGAATTGTGGGAGGAGTTTCATAAGCTGTTACAAGAGACTGGAAGGAAGTTAGCTGAGCTGAGCGAGCCAGGGAAAGCGAGCCAGTAAGCAGCATTCCTCCATGGTCTCTACTTCAGTTTCTGCCTTGTGCTCCTGCCCGAATTTCATGCAATGATGAAATGCAGCCCGTAAGTTGAAACAAACCCTTTCCTCCCCAAGCTGCCTTTAGTCAATGTTTCATTATAACAGAAATCAAGCTAGATCGGGTAATGATGGACCGGAGCCTTCATAACTGTGAACCAAAGATAGCCAGTTCCTCCTCACAAGCTCATTACCCCTGGTTCAACACAGCAGAAAAGGGGCCGACACAAAATGCACTGGGGACCCACTCCACACTGCCAGTCTGAACAAAACATGGGGTGTAGGCTGTGCCTTTATGTGCCTAGAAGCCTGGCCCAAGGCAAAGTCTACACCAGATTCACTCACTCATTTCTTCATTCCTTCCTTCCTTCATTCATTCACTCATTTATTTCATCAGACTTTTGCTGAGGACCCAGCAGGTACAAGGCACTTTCTAGTCTTTCTAGCTCCCAAAGTTCAGTGAGCTATCCCTGAAGGAAAAAAGAAAGAAAGAAAGAAAGAAAGAAAGAAAGAAAGAAAGAAAGAAAGAAAGGAAGGAAGGAAGAAAGAAAGGAAGAAAGAGAGAGAGAGAGAGAGAGAGAGAGAGAGAGAGAAAGAAAGAAAGAAAGAAAGAAAAGAAAAGAAAAGAAAAGATAAAGATAAAGATAAAGATAAAGAAAAAGAAAAAGAAAGGAAAATGTTTGACTGGGAACTTCACCCCATACAAGCTCCCTCCCCTGGGAGTTGCCTCAGTCAGGGGGTTAGGGTGAAGCCTCCAGCCAAGCAGAAAGAAAAAAAAGAAAAGAAAATGAAAGGAAAAAAATAAAGGTCTTCCCAGCAACACTGTACTGAATACCCTACCTTGGGTCCCCAGCTGTGTCTCTCTCAGCAATGGAGGCCCCTCCTGTAATGGAGGTTCTAACCATCCTCCCTGCACCCGGTGGCTATCTTCCAGGCTAGCTAGATCCCATGCTACAATTCACTGGCAGCTACAGGGACTTAGAAGACTTAAAGATACAACTCCTCATCTTACAAACACGAGATCTTGGCGAGAAGATCTCCGACCAGGGTCACCCAGAGACCGAAGTGAACTGGAAACAGATTAGTCCAGGATCCCACCCCACAGGTCTGGGTGACAACCAGTTCTCAAGAATGTTTTCCACTTTACTGTTAGCCTGAGGCACCATCCGAGAAGCCCTCAGGAGGGCTGTTGAACCCAAAACTGCAATGTTATAAACAGCAGTATTTCAAAGACCTTATAACCATCGATCCTCTGATAAACACTCTTTACTAATTAATTATCTCACTCGAATTCTCACAACCACACTAGGAGTGTGCGTTGTTATTCTCACACCACAGATTAGCAAACTAAGGTCCAGAGAAAGTGAGCTCTGCGGGAAGCCCCACAGCTATTTAGGAAAAGAGAAAGACTTGAAACAGTGTAGCAACGCTGAGTCTACCACGATCACAGCTTCAGGGCCGTGCGTTAGAGTTTAAGGAGGGGGTGATGAACTGGAATACTGGACCAGAAGGTTCACCCAGGGAAGCCACCCAGAGCCAACATCCTCCGCCTGAGGCAAGCAGGATGCGGACGTGAGGCCCGGCACGGCAGCCTCCGCTCCTCCTTGAGAGCAACCTTCGAGGAATTCCGCCTCCACCCTCCCCGGTGCATCCCGAAAGCATCACGCGCGCTGGAGGGGGACCCGGAGAATGGATTAGGACCACTGAGCTTTTAGGGGTCCTGTCACTGCGCGACAGGGGGAGGTCGGAGGCGGTGGACAGTTAGGCTCTCGGCAGCGGACGCACCGCCCAAGTCGGAGGGACTGATACCTTTCGGAGGAAGCAAGCGACCACCTGCTCGAAGGGGTACTGGAACACCTGGTGAACGTCCACGGTGACCCCCATGTCGCGAACCCGGTCTCCAGGCGCCTCGCCGAGCTCCGGCCACACCCCTTTTCAAACTTCTTAAACTTTATTGTCCCCCTCGGAGACAACGCTATAGGTCACACCCACGTCCCCTTTCACTTGTGTTCTTTAAAGATAGCACCGGAGACGCCCCAGATCCCAGCGACGGGGAAGCCAGGCTCAGTCCACGTGCCCTCCCTGGCCACGCTTGCAGATAGTGCCCTGCCTCTGAGCCACCCGGTTACACCCTTGCAACCCTGTGCTTTGCAGCCAGAATTTTAAGCCGTCAGTGCCGGAGGTCACAGAATATATCCTCTGTTGACAGAACCAAATAGGAAAAAGATGTAATAAATACATTAAGTCTCCGCCCTGAAACTGTGGGTGTGTGTGGTGTTACAACCTGGCTCAGCTAAGCCCAGCCAGACAAAGGCCAGCGACTGCACGCGTCACTAATCTGCCTGAGGAGTGCAGCTGGGCCTCTGGCGAGGAGGAAGCTGCTCTTCTCCCAGAACAATCTAGGAAAGAGAGGCCTATGCATGTAACTCGGAAGTTCCTTGGCTAAGGTTAAGCACCAGCCAGCAAGAAAAGGGATACAAAAGAAGTGTGTTCTTTCTTTCAAAGAGCAGTTGTTACTAGAGGAAGCAAATGTTATGTTTAGTCACTGAATTATTCACCTGTTTCTACACACGTGCTGTGTGCCAGACACTGCAGACTCAACAGAGAATCCGACCTGTCCCTGCTGTTGGGTAAAATGAATGCGCCGTGGGATTTGACACCCACTCAATAATGTAGGCAAGTAAAGTCAAAAGGCCTAAGATATGGTGCTAGGTTAAACAGGAACGTTCCCTGAGGTTTTGAAGTCCACATATGTGTGGCTATTGGGGATCACTCTGGGAGACAAACCCTCCCCTCATCGCAAGCTGCCACTGCCTCCTTTCCCTGCTTGGTTCCCAAGCCATAACCTGATGTCCTCCTCACTTAGTAATAGGAAGCATTTTACCTCTGTCCTTGTGGGTGAATTTTCTGCATTTGGTTTAGGAACAGTCTGTCTACCTGGCTTCCAAATCCAGGCTGGACAGACAAATATTTAACAAATCACCCTCCCTTGTAAGGCAAACTGAACAGAGCCCTTTCTTCTCTAAGTTGCCAGTTCTTGTGATGATGATGCTACTATGCTTAAAGCTAACCTCACTATGGAATTGGGACTAGAGTACAGGACCAGCAAGTATCTCCACCATCCACACAGGGGTGGTAAAAGATAACCTCAATATAGATAATGAGCAAAGTAACACCATTAACAAGTGATGCATCTTGAATATTTACTGCCCTCAAAAACAAACATATATGTGTATATATATGATACCATAATTATAACTGTATAATAATTGATATTTAGTAAAGGCTATGTTTGTGACCAGACCCAGCACATCTCTGAAAGCTCCTACCTTCTTGCCTACTTGAGGGCATCCCCCTAGCAATGGTCCTCCTCTTTCCTGTATCGTCAGCATCCACATCTACGAGATCATTACAGGCAGCACACAAGAACACTGCGATGTCTTCCACCCTAAAACAAAACAAAAAAAGCACCACCAACTCCCCGTATCCCTCCAAACAGCTCCCCTTCAACTGTACTCCCCTAGAGAGAGGCCTGCAATGTCCTGAGCCATTCTCATAGCTTTGTCCTCCACCATCTCATTCAAACTACATGTGCCAAGTTCCCAGTGACAAAATTGCTACGTTCCATAGTTAATTCTTTGTGGTCTATGTTTTAATTCAAAACAATTCCTTTGAATTCCAGTTTAATATCTTGCGCAACAAGAATATGATAATTATTTGTCTTCTTTTAGGTTTTTTTGTGTATATGTTCATGATGCGTAGCATTGTATTGCATAAGGTCATTTTCGTACAAGTATGTATCATACACTGAGCAGCCCTTCCCTATCCCCCTGCCTGTGGAGGCCCAAAAATGTGAGTCAATTTTCACTTGGTCTGCCGGTCACAGAGTTTCAGCATGCTCAAAGTTGTTGCCATTACACCGTGACCAAAGGTCAGAGAATTGGAACTTACTACTATTCCTTCAAGGTTATTGTCTATTTCTACCTCAAACAAAAGATCCACCTAGATTTAGATCACAGAGTTTTTCTCTCTCAAGGTTATTGTCCACAGGTACGGCTAATATCCAGACCTTGTATTTCAGGTATTAAGAAGTAGATCTGTTTCTACCGCAAACAAAAGTCTAAGAATCCAACTAGTTTCCTATTTCCTTAGGGAGATAACTATGGATTCCACTCAGGGAGTGGTTTGCCTACAGAATGTTTTGGTTGAAGGTGTGAGCATTACTTGTCTCAGTCTGTCAACAGAATGTTTTTTAAATTGTTTTTATTGAGCTATATGTATTTCTCCCCTCACCTCCCTCTTTCCTACTCTCTCCCCACACTCCCAATTTACTCAGGATATCTTGTCCTTTTTCTATATAACATATAGAATAGATCCATGTATGTCTCTCTTAGGGTCCTCTTTGTGGTCTAGGTTCTCTGGGATTGTGAATTGTAGGCTGGGTTTTTCTTTGCTTTGTGTCTAAAAGCTACTTATGAGTGAGAAAGATTATATTTGTCTTTCTGGGTCTGGGTTACCTCACTCAATATGTTGTTTTCTAGATTCACCCATTTGCCTGCAAATTTCAAGATGTCATTCTTTTTTCGCTGTGTAATACTCCATTGTGTAAATGTACCACATTTTCCTTATCCATTCTTCAGTCGAGGGGCATTTAGGTTGTTTCCAGGTTCTGGCTATGACAAACAATGCACCTACAAACATAGTTGAGCACATGTTCTTGTGGCACGATTGAACATCCTTTGGATATATACCCAAATTGGTATTGCTAGGTCTTGAGGTAGGTTGTTTCCTAATTTTATGAGAAATCACCACACTGATATCCAAAGCAGTTGTCTGTGCCAGCTTGCACTCCCACCAGCAATGCAGGATGTTCCCTTTACCCCACATCCACTCCAGCACAAGCTGTCATCAGTGGTTTTGATCTTGGCCATTCTAACAGGTGTAAGATGGTACCTTCGAGTTGTTTTGTTTGTATTTCTCTTATGACTAAGGATGTTGAGCATTTTCTTCAGTGTCTTTCAGCCATTTTAGATTCACCACAGCAGAATATTTAACCTGCAATCCTTCAACTGGTCTGTTCATTTCTTTGTATCATGTTAATGTAGTTTTTAATCTTACTCCTACCTTTTGGGGTGGGGCATTTTAAGCAAATGGAAATTAAACACAGGTGATTTCAGTGTTCACTGGAGCTCCCTCTTTGTACTCTCCTATGCTTCTGTTTATTATTTTCACTCGTATCTTCGTTCTCTTTACTGTTTTTCTAATCTCTATGCCCCTGCCCCGGTAAGTGATATTTTTGTCGAAGCTGGTCTCCGACACCTGCTCTCCTCTTTTCCCCCTTCCCCCTTTTATTCTCATAACCTGTTTAATTTCTACTTTCTTTTTCATTTGTTTGCTCATTCACTTGCTCGCTCGTTCACTTGCTTGTTTTCAAGACAATAGGTTTCTCTGTAACCTCGACTGTCCTGGAGAGAGCTCTATAGACCAGGCTAAACTCAGACTTAGAGATTTGCCTGCTTCTGCCTCCTGAGTGCTGGGATTAAAGACGTATGGCACCAATGCCCAGAGATTTCTACTTTCTTTGTTGCTGATGACCATTTTTTATTTCACAATTTCATGCAAGTCTATGTTTTACTCATTTCACCGCCCATGACTCCGACTCTCTGTCTTCTCCCTCCCATTTCCACAGAATTCCTTCTTCTCACTTTCTATTATTTTGTTTTGTAGGGGTGTGTGTGTGTGTGTGTGTGTGTGTGTGTGTGTGTGTGTGTGTGTGTGTGTGTCTGAATCTAATTAGAGTTACTGGCAAGGCCTTGGGTAGGTAGTTATTAAATGGAGCGTGGGTAACCCCACCAGCAGCCACACCATTGAAGAAAATGACTACCCCACCCCAGAAACCATTAATTGCCAATATTTCCTCATGGAGGAGGAGGAGGATCTCACCTCTGCCCTTCCTCTATCCATGATGAAATGTCAACGGGCCCAGTCTTGAGTAGATCTTGTGCAGAGCTAAAGTATATTTTAGTGTGTGAGCGCAATCACCATGCTGTGTCCAGAAAGCTGTATCACAGAATTCTTCACCATTCTCTGGTTCTTAGATTCCTTCTTCCATCTCTTCCTGGACTTTGGAAGGGGTGATAATCTAGACATGCGTATATTAAGATTAAGTCTAGATTAAGTCTGAGCACTCAAGATTTACTTATTCTCAACGCGTAGACCAGCTATGAATCTCTGCACTAGCTGTCACCCTCTGGAAAAAAAAAAAAAAAGCTTTTCTGACTAAAGCTGAAAGCGGCACTGATCTATGGTTATAAACAAACACTTAAACACTTAGGAGGCAGTTTAACAACAGGTTCATTTAGCAAAACAATAGCAGCAGCTTCCTCACTGGGGCCTATGACTTCCCCAGCCATAGGTTTTGGCCACGTTTGCAGTGCCAGGAATGAATTCCCTCCTGTGAAGTAGGCCTCCATTATAAGTAGAAAGCAGTTGGTTATCCCCATAATAGTCATGCCATTATTGCACCACAGGACACAGAATATCCTACAACACTACTAACGCCTGCCAGCAGAGATGGGGTTTGCAACTTAAATCAATCTTGATTTCTCTATATCCTACAATCACTATGCTTTCATGTCCTGTGTACATATGTTAGTTTGGATATCTATATGAAGTCTAGGAACCACATGCGAGAAAACATGCATCTTTCTAAGACTGGCTCAATTCACTTCTCACAGTTATCTCCTAGGGTGCCCATTATCCCACATACCACAGAACTGCATTCTTCATTATGGCTGGAAAAACTTTCTTCGTCTATATACACCATATTGTCCTTATCCATTCCTCTGTTGATGGACATCTAAATCACGTCCATTACTTAGCTATTGTGTAAACTGTTTCAATAGGCATTGATGTGTAAATATCTTTGTGGCATACTAACTTGAAGCCTTGGGGTGAATTCCCAGTAAGTCAATTTCTAGTTTTTGAGAAACCACCATTCTGATTTCCATTATGGCTGGACTGACTCTCACACACACACACACACACACACACACACACACACACACACACACC